AGTGATAAACAATTCAGGCCAGCTGTGGCCGTTTTGCACTGCCGTTTGTTTTTAAGTGGAATCTGTCACTTTAAATTTTGAGGAGATCTGTGTGCATGCATAGTAGAACCTTCTGGAGGTGGGAGTGGGGTGTCCATTCACTCAGGCACCCTCTCTAGTCTCCAGAATAGAGCTGCACAGACAGCGAGAGCCCAATGAACAGATACACAGAAAAAGAATGTCCACACCTTTATCTCCGCAGTTCTGTCAGGTGTCCATGGCTGCTCTGAGCCTTCATTGCTTGGTCTCTCCCAAGATGGATGCTCCGGGAGCAGCTGAAGTGTCTTGAATTGGAAAACAATTGGTTTCTTGCTACCGCTACCAACTCCCCTAGCTGTAGGTCTTCCAACCTTCTAATTATTCCTTTATATGTGGTTCAGAGTTCTGGGACCCTCTCCTGAACCTACTTGGTCTGGTATTCTGTGTTGTTGCTGATGGTATTCCTCACTGCATTTCCACCTGATCCACCATCTTGCTTGTTCTCAAGATAATCTTTAAACCTTAGAGCAAAAATAACCCCAAAATCATCACTTTTTAACAGTAATAAAGGACTCCTTGAGCTTTATGCTTTTAAAAAAAACTATGTGGGATCAAATTGACAACAGCAACTCAAAAGATTACATAGGGTCATTAGGGAAGAGTGAGTTTATGTTAACGATGAAGGAATAATTCAGAAAAAGAGGATGAGAATGGTTGAACAATTTGAAGAATGTTATCTATCTCACTAAATTGAACATGTTGTTGTTGTTGTTGAATACTGTCGAGTCGATTCCAACCCATAGCGACCCTGAAAAGGGTTTCCAAGGCTGTAAATCTTTATGAGACCAGAAAGCCTCATCTTTCTCCCGTGGAGTAGCTGGTAGTTTCTAATTGCTGACCTTGTGGTTCGCAGCCCAATTAAAAACCACTATGCTGCTGTTAAATTGGTATATATTTTGGTGTGTGTATTTTCAACAATAACAACACAATAAATAAAATTTAGAAAAATTAAATTTCTCAATATGTTGTTTTTCTATTTTCAAAAGTTGTTGAAGCATTTTTCCTGAGTGACAGTACTGAGCAGTATCTCGAAATTGAGCTTTGTCCGTAAGTATAAAATATCTTTCCTTACTTGTTACTACATGACTTAAATCTGTTCTCTTTTACTTATAAATCATGGCCATATTTTGTTGTTGTTGTTGTTGCTATTAAGTCATTTCCAATTCATAGTGACCCTGTTCAGAATTTCCAAGGAGTGGCTGGTAAGTTTGAACTGCTGACCTTGCGGTTCAAACTGACTTTGTGGTCCAGTGTTTTATCCCACAGTGCCACACTAGGACTGTAAGCATATTAATTCCAGCTATCTAGAGTGAATGCTATCTGAATTATATACTTTTATGTAATTTTTTCTTTTCAAGTATATTTTGTATATTTAGACTATATATATATTGTTAATACTTATAATGTTATTTTTATGGTGATAGTGTTTTAAATTCAGTGATGGAGTTTATTTTCTAATAAATTTAAAAGGAATTTTTTTGCAAAATGAAAAACTATTAATAGACCAAATACTATTCTCTTCATTATTTACTATGTAAATTTGCATTATTAAATACTAGCTGTTTAGAAATAAAGTTATGAATATATATGTAATAGAACTACTTTTAAAATTGATTTCCATAG